AAAATCTTCCTGAAGATGTTATTATGATTTGATACTGTCTACAAGGAGAGAAAATGAGAGTGTGTGGTGGCCAATCTCTGCTGACAAACTCTCCCAACTCTTCTTTTGGTCTGCCTTGAGGCCCAAAATGTCTAATCAACTCATCTGACAATGGTAACTTCCACTTATAGAAAAGAGATGGCAAAAGATGCCTTTATCTAGACAGGATCCAAGCTTGTTGCTTGAAAATTAAGAGAGGTTTCCATTTCTGGGGTGTAAAAATTTTGTTCAATTAATTTACTCATGTGTACTAACTAAATAAGTGAACCAAGAAGAGGTTCTTGAGAAGAGGGGTATAAAGTAAAATGAAATTAGCAAGAAGGTCTCATTTGCTATTAAAATTGTGTTTTGCTACCCAATAACAAACATTAAGGCGACAGTTTTTTCTAGGCATATGAGGAAGAATGTGACAGGAGAGAAGACAGCCACACATACAGTGACAACGAAAGTCAAAGAGGAAGGAATTTAACCCTAAAACTCTCCACCCTATGCCTTTGCTTTACTGCAGCCTCCCTACGGCCTTATCTGATTAAACTCTTATCAATCTTTTAAGATGTCCTGGGTATGGCTATACTGGAATATACCTTCAACTCCTTACACTGAGCTAGGTATGATACTCTGCTATAAAATAACAGGGATATAATATTCTGTGTCACAGTAGAGTGGCATTTATGACACAATAGCAAACAACATTTACAATACTGTTTTGAAATTAACGTGAGAAGAAAACAAAGTTAAACACTGGTACCATGTTTTGTGCTTTCCAAACTCTACCATGTGCTAATCATCTGTTTACTAAATTTTGATTTATTAACAGTACCACTGCTTAAAGCAAATATTCTTATTTAGATCTATAAAAAGCATGGTATATGAAATGCTTTGGAAAAATCAAACAAAGATCAAGAGAATACTCTCTACAACTGATATAAAAGATCAAGATATATTATTTAAGAAATATAAAGTGATAGAACAGTTTATGTTTCTTTCTTAAAATGTAACAAAATGTGTATATACATATGTACACTTTTATTCTGGAAAGTCACAAGAAAACTAATAATATGAGTATGGAGACTTTGCATTTAATTTTTTATCTGTCCTATACTCTAGCCTCATGATTTTCAAAAAAAAAAAATTTAAGTTACTAAGGATTATCTGGTTCCTAGAATTAAGAAGTTTTTTTCCAATGAATTTCTTTGAAGGTAAAGATAGTGTCTCATATATTTTTGTATTATCACCAGTCAAGACAGACTGGAAAACAGCTGACGTTCAGTGAATGTTTTCTTAACCAAACTCCACTTCTCAGCTACTTGACTGTCTTTATCTCTTTCCTGAAATACTGATTTTTTTTTTTATGAGCCCTCCCCAATTTTCTTCTATTATACATAAAGCAACAAGTCTAGTGCCTCAAAAATACTTGTTGCTCAGTAAACATTTGTGCAATTCAGGGCTGGAGAGATAGCTTACTGGTTAAGAGCACTGGTGCAACTGGGTGTTCTTGCAGAGGACCAAGGTTCAGTTCCCAGCACCCACATGGCAGCTAACAACCATCCATAACTGCAGTCCAAGGAATCCAGTGCCCTCTTCTGACCTTTGTGGTCACTGCACAACATGGGTGCACTTACACACATGCAAGCAATATATTCATACACATAAAATACTAAAATATTTTTTAAAATATTGCTCAGTTCGGGCTGGGCTTTGGTGGTGCATGCCTTTAATCCCAGCACTAGGGAGGCAGAGGCAGGTGGATCTCTGAGTTCAAGGCCAGCTTGGTCTAAATAGTGAGTTCCAGGACAGCTGGGGCTACAGGGAGACCCTGTCTCAAAAAGACCAAAAAAAAAAAATATATATATATACATGTATTGCTCAATTCAATCATCTACCTTCTTACTTGTATAAAACACAACTACAATTACAGGAAACAGTGGCCTCCCAATTCCTGACCATTTCAATTGTCTATTAAACATATATTCTGTAACTAGTCATCCCTCTCAGTCATGTTTCAGTTGATGTGCTTCCTTCTGAAGATAAGGAGCCCTGTGAGAACTCTAGAGGTTCACTATCAAATTTTCCCTTGGGAAGAAAGAAAAGGGAGTATGAGGCTGTGTGTGCTTCCTGTCTTTTGCTTTAGGTTTGTCAAATGCCTGTTCTACTGAAACTCAGTTTAAGAGGCACAGTCAATGAATGCTTGTTAGCAGTTTAATACAATTATCTATTCAAAAAGGTATTAAAAGAGTGGTTTAAAATGCGTTGGTAAAGGAGTAACTAGTCAGTGTCTTTTCCCAATCTTTGTAGGAGTAATATTTAAGAACAAGGTATTGGGCCAGGCATGGTGGCACATCCCTTTAATCCCAACTCAAGAGAGAGAGTCAGCAGGTGGATCTCTACAAGTTCCGGTCATCCAGGTTACACAGAGAGACCATCTCTCAGAAAAAAAAAAAGAACCAGGTATCCAATGAATAATTCACCACTGACACTTCCTGACTGCATAAAGCAGTGAGGCTCATGTTAATTGGACTCTACATATTTGACAACAGCCAGACAGGGAAGAAATAAAATTATTCGTAGCTCATATGACAAACGCTGATTTAAATGGATTAAGAAATAAAAACATCCCTACTCATTGCAACCAGCTCAGGGAATCACTCCAGAGAAAGAAAGTGGAAACTGTGCAGGAAAGGGTAGGAAAGAGTAGACTGCATTGTCCCAAAGATAAGAGGATCCCAGAATTGGGGGGGAAGTGCTGAAGTTTGGTGTGACTCACGGCGACTGCTAGTGTCCAACAGGCCCAGAGATGGCTATCCTCTGAAAGACTGAAAAGGAAAGGGAGAGGCATCTTGGAAGAAGAAGGCATCCTTTGAGCATGATGATGAAGTGTAAGGAGAGTACAATGGCACTGAATTACAATGGCACTGAATTACATACTCCTGCCCCCAAATTAGGACAAGTATAAACCACATTTCACTGTACTGACAGAACAGGAAGCTCTTGAACCAAGAACCAAATAACCAAAGGCTGATTATGAGAAATAGTATATTTAATATTTATAAGCTATAATAATATAATTGCATTTAATATTTTTAGTCATTTCATTTGAAAAGATCTATAAATATATTGAAAAATAATTTTGTATAGATAGATAATAGAAATATTTTCACCCTCTTTTTAAAAAAATTTTTATTGAGCTTTTGTAATTTTATACAACAGTTCCTAATCAAATTTAGGCCCCCTCTCCCATCCATGTCCTCCATCCTCCCACCAGACCTCATGTATTCCACCATACATATTAAGTCCCATCCAGTCAAGCATTTGTATCCAAGATGTCCTTCAGTGTAAATTCATCCACCAGAGTCTAGTCAGCCCATCTAGAGATATGTAATGCTTACTCTTCCTCATCTAGCATCAATCAGTCTCCAATAGTTCTCAGCCTAGGGCCGGCCCACCACCCATTTCTCTCCTCCCCTCTGGGCTCTTGTTTAAATGAGTGGGCACAGGTCTTGTGCTCAATTTTAAGCTTTTTCCTTGAATTTTTAATCTTCAAATTTTCTTTTAAAATATTTTTAAATTCTATGTGTATGAGTGCTAGGATTCAAACCTGAGTCCTCTCCAAGAGCAGCCAGTGCCCTTAACCACTGAGCCACTGCTCTAGCCAGTCTTGAAAATTTTTGTACTTAACATGACAATTATATATTTACTATCTAAATTAAACTCTTACTTTTGCCAGTGTCTTTCCCTCATTCTCTCTCTATACACCTTTTCCACATGACACTTTTCATAACTTTGACACAATAATTCTAATTTAACTATACTATACAAATTTCTTTTTACCAGTTCTAAAGATGGTTTCTTTCACCTATTCTCCTTTGAATAGAGTTGTATTAATTTGAATTTTGACCTTTTGGATTTTTGACTAAATAAAAATAATCTAAATATCCTATTCAATTGGGTTTCAACACTGAGGGAAAATAAGCAACCAATACCATCCTTATATATATACAATTCTAACTTAAAAATTCTTAGCCAGGGATGCTAGATATTAATGATATCATCAAACCAATATAAAAGAGAACTGCTTGGGCCTGAAGAGACAACTTAGAGGTTAAGAGCACTGGCTGCTCTTGCAGTGGACCCACCAGGTTCGATTCCCAGCACCCACATGGTGGCTAACAACTGTCCATAACTCCAGTTCCAAGGAATCCAATGCCCTCTTCTGACTTATATGGGCACTGCAATGACACAGGTGCACTTACACACATGCAGGCAATACACTCATACACATAAAATAAAAACAGTAAGAATTTCTTTAATAAAAAAGATAACTGCTAATATGCAGAGACCCGAAACTATTTAATTTGAAACTGCAGCCTTGAAGCTCTAACTTATAGACTTAACATACAAAATGTATGAAACAGGTGCTATATTACAAACTGCCAATATATTCTTTACTTTGCTCTGCAGACACCTTCTGAGTCCGTAAGAGCACAGACTGAATTTTTTTAAAGGAAATCACAGTGCTTTAATTTTCAAAGATGGTAGAAAACTAAGTATGCTAGGTTTTCTTTTTTAAAAGAAATATCAATTTTTCAGAAATGGAGAAAGCTTTAGAAATGAAAGCAAACCTTGAATCTCGATATTTATGGCAAAATAACAGATTTATTATTGCAGTAAAATTCACAAGTATTTCAAAAATATAAGTTCTATAAAATATACAGCATATATTACATAATTTCAAATATTTGTAAATAATTCAGTGTTTGCTGTTTATGGCCAAAGAAGTGATAAAAACATACATAAAATTGACACTGCATCAAATTTCATTAATAATACTGATAGTAAATTTGGAGGAAATTAGTTATTATCCTCAAGCCACAATACTGGCCAAAATAGAAAAAAAAGAGGGAGAACCAGAAAACACTTGTCACTACTCAAATAAATACAAATGAGATGTGGAGAATTAGTACCTTTATGCTGGCCTTCAAACTCTTCAGATAAGAGGTGGTAGCAACAACCCACACTGCAAACTCCCTTGACCTCAGACTTGGAAGTAAATATCCTCAGAGTATTTGCTGCCAGATCACCACAAGTATGCAGACCTACCATTAAACAATCCTTTAAAGAGAAGGAAAAAATAAAATTTGGAAATTAAAAGGAGAGGTAAAAAGGATTCAGGTGAAGATCTTAAGTGTCTTTTCAAATATGTAAGCCATTTTGTAATTATCAGTTCTATCTACAAAGTATTACATTTTTTTATATATTCAAAATGAGTAATTGCCTTCTTAGGTAAAATGGCCATGATTTCTTACCATAACTTTAAAAAAAAATTTTTTTTGGTTTTCACTATTCATATTTTCTCTCATCTCTTTTATACCTAATATCTGCTTAACAACTAAATAGTGTAAATTAAAAGTTAGATCAAAAAATGTATCATACACTGAACATGTAATGTCACCCAATCTTAGAAAGAAAAAGGCAAATTCTACCTCATATGCAGATTCTATCTTATACATGTATATATGTAAAGAAATGCATGTATGAACATACTATAATATTTAGAAGAAAACAGGAAAGAATAACTTTTTAAAAGGTACACTAATAAACTCATATATATCTATATATATATAGATATAAATACGTCTTATACTTTTTGTAAGTCCTTTGAATATTCTTTGAAAATATAACACATTTTCGATGCAATACATCCCTTAAGTGGCAATGTCTACATGTGATTTTAAAAGGATTGTTACCTTACTGTGAAATACGAACTTTAAAGTATCTTTTTCATTGTTTGAATATTTCTGTATACTGTAGTTTTTGTAAATATTAATAAACTTACTATATTTTATCCTTTAAAAATTAAAAAAAATCACCTACAGGCATGATTTTATTTTCCTTATAAAAATTAGATTTTTAACTTTTCCTCGTATCTGGATTATATGGACCAAAGTAATATCTTTGATAAAATCATTTCAAATAGTATTTAAATTGTGATTTCTTTTTTAATTTGCTGAATTGCTGCAGGACCTAAGAGACAATCTTCTAGCTCATTTCATTTTAGTTGTGTCTTGAGCTTCCTTTTTTTCTTTTTTTGAAACAGTGTTTGCTCTATTGACCAGACTAACCTGAAAGTCACTCTGTAGCCCTGGCTAGCTTCAAACTTGTGGCACTTCTCCTGCCTCAGCCTCCCAAATGCTGAGATTTTATGTGTGAGCCACTATGCCCAGCTTTTTTTCTTTTTCCTAAGCAGGATCTCTCTATGCAGCCCAGGCTGTCTTTGACTTCAGGATCCTCCTGCCTCCACCTTTCTGCATCTTATAGGTGTATGCCACCATGCCCAGGGTGCATACATTTCTTATCATAAAATTCCAAGATTTTGAGAAACTTAAGTGAAAAATGTACTAATTTAAAAAAAATTTACATTAAATTAACGAAGACTGGGACTGAAGAAATGGGTCAGGGATTAAGAGCACTTCCAGAGGACCAGAGTTCAGTTCCCAGTCCTCATGTCAGGTGGCCCACAACCAGCTATAACTATAGCTCCAGGGGACTGGAGGCCCAACACCTACACACGTGACATTCATGCACAGACACATACATACACACAGAAATAAAAATAAAATCTTTTAAAAAATGAATTGAGGGCTAGAGAGATGGCTCAGCAGTTAAGAGCACTGACTGTTCTTACAGAAGACTTGGGTTTGATTCCAAGCACTCACGTGGTTGCTAACAACTGTCCATAACTCCAGTTCCAGGGGATCCAATGCCCTCTTCAGAACTCTGCAGGCATTACTTGACACTGGTGCACTTACACACATACAGGCAATAACTCAAACACATAAAATAAAAATATTTTTTAAAAAATTAATAGAGACTATTTGTCCCTAAGAAATACTTAAGAATAACCTAATTACTGTTTTATACTCAAGTTGAGTAAGGCTTCCTTTAACTAATACCTTTTAAAAATATCCCTGGAGCTGGGTGTGATTGTGTACTCCTTTAACCTCTGCACTTTAGAGGCAGAGGCAGGCAGAACTCTGTGAGTTTGAGGCCAGTATCTACATAGCAAGTTCTAGGCCAGCCAAAGTAGACAGTGAAACCCTGTCTTAAAAAAGAAAAAAAAAAAATGTGTGTGTGTGTGTGTATGTGCTCTTCTCATAACTAAATATTCATGAAGAATTCTGGTATCATTTGTTTAGCCATTTCTTTTGGAAAGATCTGTAAAATTTAACAAGGACTCTAACAGCTATAACTCTAACAATATAACTCTAACAGCTACGTTGTCTTTAAGAAGAGTTAAGGCAAATGTTCTCTAGAAACTTTTGTATGACATTGTTTTAACAAACACTATTGCTTTTAAGATATACTGCCTTCTCATTACATAATTTGACATTCTTGTAACTTGGAAAAAATTCAGGCCTTAAAGAATACTCATAAGCTATGCTTAGTGTAGGAAGCTACATTATCTGGTCAACAAAATGTGCTAATACCTCTTTATCTCTTCTCATTGTCCTGAATTGATTACCAAGTACACATGAATTAAAATATCACACTGCTGTATACTTACTATGTTAATTAAAAACAAAATAAAACCTATAAAAACATTTAAGAATTTTCTTAGAATTTTATTTTTTAATGTTTTATTTATTATTTTTATTTTATGTGTACAAGTATATTGCCTACATGTATGTAAGTGCACCTGTATCATGCAGTGCCTGTGGAAGTCAGAAGAAAGCATCAGATTCCCCTGGAACCAGAGTTATGAACAGTTGTTGGCTGCCATGTGGGTTCTAGGAACCAAGTCTGGGTCCTCTGCAAGAGCAGCCAGTACTCTTAACCACTGAGCCATCTCTCCAGTCCCTAGATTAGAATTTTGGCAATACCTAAATTGTAGATATAAGAATGTGGTTTACTGACTAGCTTTGTTTACTTCTATGTAGAAGTGAATTGAGGAGGGAGTTCTGTATTCTACAGTATTTTTTATTAAATTTTGACAGTGGTGGATATAATGAAAGTCTGTTTAGGATTTTATTCTTGGTCTTTAGGATTAATGTGGTCTTTAGGATCAAATAAGATCACACTAGAGCAGCAACAAGCTATTGAAACTGAATTCTACATTGATACCATTTCTATAAACTAAAGGATTCAAAGTGGAATCACCTCCAGATCTTTAATGATGTCATGCAGTTCTGAATCAGCCTTGATAAAAGAGGTTACCGGTGAGTATATACTTGATTCACTTGATTCTGATGTCATGCTTCTTCTCCCTGTACTGGCTTCAGACATTTCTCTGTTACGCACTTGGGATGAAGAAGCAGGCTCTACAGCATTGACAGGCAAAAAGTCTATGAGAGAAAAGGCATTTTCAAGACACAGATTTTCTTCTTCAAGTGGTTGAACACGTAGATTTTCCATTTGTTTTCTGATGTTTGAAACTGCAGACCCTGAAGTATTTGGTAGAACGCCCGAGGCAGACATCTTTTCTTGATTTGCAGGGCTGTCGTTACATACTTCCTCAAAATCTGCCTTACATTTTATTTTCTTTTTCAGTTTTATTTCTTCTGCCATTTTGAATGGCAGTTCACTGGCGTCTCCTCTTGACTGAATATGATACAGTTTCCAATGTTTCTTCAGTTTCCTGTTCCTCTCCTTAGCTCCATGAGTATTGATATTTGAGGAATCAATGCCATAAACTTTTAAGCCATATTTTAAGGACAGAAAGGAGCTTAGGTAGCCTTTACCAGAACCCACATCAATTACCTGGAGAAAAACAAGTCATTTCAGGATTTTAGTCAGCAGTAATAGAAATATTCCAGATTTTTTTTTAAGATAAAGAAGCAAATGGATTGTACCATTTATATAATCTGTTATATTACTATTTTAATGCTTTGATTTCTATTAAAGATTGATCATTGTTCGTATTCAACATTTTCCTAGTTACAGCTAATATTTAAATCAAAAGAAACAAGTAAATGGCATAAAGATTTGAAATGAAGAGGAAAATATGTTTTTACCATACATGACATGATTGTCCCTCCAGAAAATCTTGAGGAATACATTAAAAAGCTGATGAAAATAGGAGGTAAACTTTGCAATGTGTCAGGGCACACAGAAATTAGGAATGAACCACCAGAACATATATAATATAGTAGCAATGAATAATTTAAAGTAAAAATGTTTAAATAAGATAGTATACATATAAAATATCTATCAGTAAATTTAACGAAAAACTTCAGAGAAGACCCATAGAGTAAAAACTATAAAACATTACATTTAAATGTCAAAATGAAGAGATCCCTCATGCTCATGAAATAACAATCTCTACCGTAAGGTGGAGGAGGAAATATTCTACAGAAAAGCACTTTTCTACACCAAGAAGCATTTTCCACAACTGCTTATAATTATCAGTCATCAAACCTCAAGTTGGTAAATATCTAAACTGTACCTCAATAAAACCAAAGTTTTATTGAAAATTAAATATTTTATTCTAATTTGTTATTACTATGTCATGAATAAATGGACAATTTCAGATATACTGTCAGCAATCATTATGTAATCTTGTTACACATATCTTTAATTCCAAAATTGAACCCTGACACTGAAGGAAACATTCCTATGTTTAAAATAATCCCTGTCTTTAAGTCATCAACATTTTCAGGTGTTGCAGTTATATTAGTTCATAGCTAAAAAACTTCAGTAAATAATGTCCTAAAAAGAAAAGATTAACTCACAAATTATTCCCCATACTTTATGCTAATTTCGGGATTATATATTATGGGAAATATGAAATTATACATCTGTAAAAGCTTATACACACAGACATACTGTCCTTTAAGGAAATATAAATTATAACTAAAGATATCTCCAGAAAAGGCAAACCTCTCCATTCTTTTCCCCCATAAAACACATTCACGATGCCAATTACAAGCTTAGTACTTATAACCAGGGGTTTACTTGTAAGCATCAGCATATTTGTTCCCTTAAATGAAGATGTTTGCTTACCAAAACTAATTTAGTTCTAAGATCTGCTTATGATCATTCTTTTTGTGAATCAAAAAAGCTCTGGATAAAGTGATACCACAACAAATTTTGAACTGTGGCAGATGCCACAATATGGTAGTGTCTAAACAAAAAAGGTTTAACTCCTGGAGCTGTTTAAACCAAGAGTGAGCCTGATATGTTCTCAGAACTGCTCCTTTCTGGTTTCTCTTGGAACTGTTCCTCCAATGAAAGGCATACTCTTTTATTTAAAAGCTACATCCAGTGAGGAGAGGAATGAGGAGCTTTGTCTTTTAGGGAAGAATCTGCCTTTTCTGACTACTACTAAGGCAATCACAAACAGCTCTTATCAACCTAGGCCCACAGGTTGTTCTCAACATAAACTGTGGACAATTAATTGCTTCCAATGTTGTTGCTTTTAGTAATGATACTTTCACAACACACACACACACACACACACACACACACACACACACAGACACAGACACACACACACACACACACACACACACACACACACACACACACAATTATTCTGGGCCAAGGGCGAGGAAAGGTCATGAGGGAGAAAAAGGGACTATAGTCTAAGATTAAAGTTATGTGTTTAGCTCAGCTTATAAAAGTTCATTAAAAGAGGGGCCCAAGGCCTAGTAGGATTGTTCATATTCTAAACAAGCTGAGGCAGTGTTAAATGATCTCAGAACATAAGACTAGTTTAGGTTACAAGATTAGACAGGATAGGAGGCATTTCTAGAAAAGTCATTCCCACACTGAACAATGAAGAAAATTCATTACCTCACTTAAACAATGTTGCAATAATGTGACTGCACCTTTGCAAGACATGACCAAGTAAAAATAATGCTAGTTTATTGTAATTTCTGGAGTTACAAGATGGCTACTAAAACTCCAAAAGCCAAGTATCCACAAGACAATGTCTAAAGCCCTTTTTTCCAATGGAACAAACTTTCCTACAAAGTCTGTCAGTCAGCTTTCACTTACACCTTATTGACCCTTTCCTCTTTCAACATGTAACATGTAGAAGATTAGCAATACAAAGAAAAAATGGCAATTAAATTACAGTAGTGGGAATCTCATAAAGTCCAACCTTTTACTTCAAGTGAGCTGGGTAGAACTGCCAAATCTCTACTCATGTATCCTCTTACCCATTACAGAATTGCTGGATCATCTGCCCTGGTGCTACAGGTGTGACGATAGAGGTGGTGGCTCTTGTCAAATACCTACTTCTGATTCTGCTTAGAGATGTCCCCACAGAAATATTATACACAGTGGTTAAATTTCTTAATATTAGCATGGTACTATTCTTCGAATAAAAAGGTTACAATATTCTTCAATACAAAATGTTACATTTTGTTGACTAACTACCATTCTAAGCTAAGGATCCTGAAATTTGTTAAGTTTGACTTGGAAGTCTCAAGAATTTCATGCTCATATATTAAGTCATCTACCTAACATTTCTAATCAAATGCTTAATAAGCATCTCAAATTGAAACTGAACTTTCTGTGTGGGTTTTTCTTTAATATTTTAATTGATTTTATTGAGACTATGATACATGGTGTGCTGGATAGCTTTAGTTGTCAACTTGACACACCTGGGTTGAGGGAGCCTCAACTGGAGAATTGCCTCCATTGGACTGGCCTGTGACCATATCTGTCGGGTATTTTCTTGATTGATGAGTGATTTGGGAGGGTTTAGCCCATGTGGGTGGTGTCACCCTGGGCAGGTGGCCCTGTATTATACAAGAAATCAGCTTGAGCATGGGCCAGAGGAGCAAGCCAGTAAGCAGCATTCCTCCATGACCTGTGTTTCAGCTCCTCTCTCCAGGTTCCTGCCCTGAGTTCTGACCTTGGGCTCCCTGATGAATTGTGACCTTAGAGATATAAACCATCTCTCTAGACCCTAAGAGCTAATTCTTAAAGAAATCAGATTAAAAATCTACAAAGGCAATGGTAAAATAGAAAGTCAAACAATAGAAATATTTTCTTCATAACACAATGGAAAAAAAAGAGATCCAGTGGCTGCAATGGCTTTCTGTCTCCTTCTGAATAAAATCCCAGATGATCATAATGGCCTTCAAGAATCTGAGAGTCATAATCTGTCTTCTCCAGCCTCAGTTCCTATTACTTTTCCTCTTGGTCACTTGGAATCAATATGGCTTCCGGACTAGTCCAAGAACTAAGTAGGCACATTCCCACTTCAGCACCACCTAATACATCACTTCCTTCTAGTGGAAAAGGGTTTCTTCTAGCTATTCCAATGAGTAGTTCTTTAGCTCCTGAAGGGGGTCTTACTCCTATCTTCATAATGAAGTCTCATTCCTCACTGAAGTAACTCTTCCTTTTCTTTTTGATTCTTTTCCTCATTAAAACATATTACAACACAATATAATTCTTTTATTTCTCACTCCTTATTAAAATATGAATGTCTTGAGAGAAATTTTTTTCTTTGTTCATTACTATAAGCTTAGTATCTTAAGTAGAGCTTACGGCACATGGTAGGAGCTAAAGAGAATACTGGCTAAATAAATGTGTGCAAGCATACAGTTATGAATGAATGAACACATTTTATAATGAACAATTAACAATCCTTGGTAAGTGAATGTGAGAGAAAATGTGAGACATGTAGGGCACAGCGTGGTTGAGGCAGAAATGAGCTCTGTGTTTTCCTCTCTAGGTCTCTGTGGTCACTGTTAAGGTTAAGTACTTCAGAATATGTGTCTCTAGCAACAAAATGTATATTTATTAAACATATTATATATATATATACACACACACAATACTACTAACTTAAACATTGACAAAAATCAAATAATGTTG